GAATTTACATCACATTACTTAAAAGTAATATACAAATCCTTTTAGAACCTTCGTCGCATCGCAGACATAGTTCAAAGTTTAGATCATAGTGCACAGTGTAGAAAAAGAGGCTGGCACGTGTCAGCGCGAAAAACGTCAACATATTACCGGCGATGAACAGGCGAGATAGAGGCGCTCTCGAAAGAGTCCCTCGTTCATATCGAGGCACCGGCTCGACTCGAGTGCCATTTCAATTACTCTGAAAACGATTCTCGAGTACCTCTTCATGTCCGTAGATAAAGTATCGCGAAGGCACATGCTCTTTCTCTTTGGTCCCAGCCGCCCCGACTGATCCACGCACGAAGCCCTGTAAAACGCGATGGATCCGATAATCAGCTGGCTGGATCGTATCGTTCCGTCGCAAAGAGAATGGTACTCGGACTCGCAGATTCTCGCCGATATCGAGCCACTCTTTTTGCAACAACCGCGTAACGTCTATTTCGAAAATAGAATACGAGTAAATGAGTCGTGCTCGCGATGCCTCTGTTGTTCGCTATCTATTTCGGCGCGAATGAGAAAGACAAATGGCTCTTGTTTTTGGACGCGTTGCTGCAACGGTGCTTTCGATTTAGCCGTTTAGATTAGAGCAAGGTTGACATTACTTTTTGGACGCACAAATACGCCAACGCATTGTCATATCTCACTTAACAATTCGTAAGTTTTGTCAAACAACATTAACAAAAATTCACTGTTTGTGTTAATGACAGATTTACGACTATAAAGTTCTACATTTTGACTACTAAAATATTATTATAAATAATGAATACTTTAAGAGTTTGTGGAGATATTTTGGTTTTCTGAAATTTCTTTAAAGTCAAAGAACCCTAAATACATATATTGCTGTCTGACTCTAAATCCTCAAATTGTGCATTGATATTCACTACAATATGTAATTTCACTGATAATATTTATTATAAATTCACTTCATTCATAGTTCACTGTCTTTCTTTGTCATGTCCACGAGAATTCAAGAGAAATATGACGAGATTTCATAATTTTTGCATATACGACTAAATTATTCTGCTTCTTGTGAGAAATTTTGTTTGAAGGCTGTGAAAACTATAAGTTGATACATAACTATAGTTAACATTAATAGTGGATGTATGCCAATGTAAATTGTAATAATCCATATACAATAACAGATATTCCATAGTTGTAAACAAAAAATCTGTAAATTGTATTAACAAGTAATATTAATTCTATTAATTGTAAACTGTGAGTAACGTGATTAATACAATTATGTTTTTAACTGAATTTCATGATTAGGTAGTTTTATTGTCGCACATGGATCAGGTTTCAAATAATTGTAAATGACTCTGAATGACTTTCAGAGATTAACATATGCAGATTCTCGCCGATATCGAGCCACTCTTTTTGCAACAACCGCGTAACGTCTATTTCGAAAATAGAATACGAGTAAATGAGTCGTGCTCGCGATGCCTCTGTTGTTCGCTATCTATTTCGGCGCGAATGAGAAAGACAAATGGCTCTTGTTTTTGGACGCGTTGCTGCAACGGTGCTTTCGATTTAGCCGTTTAGATTAGAGCAAGGTTGACATTACTTTTTGGACGCACAAATACGCCAACGCATTGTCATATCTCACTTAACAATTCGTAAGTTTTGTCAAACAACATTAACAAAAATTCACTGTTTGTGTTAATGACAGATTTACGACTATAAAGTTCTACATTTTGACTACTAAAATATTATTATAAATAATGAATACTTTAAGAGTTTGTGGAGATATTTTGGTTTTCTGAAATTTCTTTAAAGTCAAAGAACCCTAAATACATATATTGCTGTCTGACTCTAAATCCTCAAATTGTGCATTGATATTCACTACAATATGTAATTTCACTGATAATATTTATTATAAATTCACTTCATTCATAGTTCACTGTCTTTCTTTGTCATGTCCACGAGAATTCAAGAGAAATATGACGAGATTTCATAATTTTTGCATATACGACTAAATTATTCTGCTTCTTGTGAGAAATTTTGTTTGAAGGCTGTGAAAACTATAAGTTGATACATAACTATAGTTAACATTAATAGTGGATGTATGCCAATGTAAATTGTAATAATCCATATACAATAACAGATATTCCATAGTTGTAAACAAAAAATCTGTAAATTGTATTAACAAGTAATATTAATTCTATTAATTGTAAACTGTGAGTAACGTGATTAATACAATTATGTTTTTAACTGAATTTCATGATTAGGTAGTTTTATTGTCGCACATGGATCAGGTTTCAAATAATTGTAAATGACTCTGAATGACTTTCAGAGATTAACATATTGGGTTGTCCGGAAAGTTCGTGCCGATTTTCGGTAGGCGGCATGAAATTTTATTTAGAATAATTTTTCACCAAAAAGGCTGAGACGTTCTGGAAGGACTTCTCAAGTTGCAAAAAAGATGGAGAAAGGTTATAGAACAGAATGGCACCTATATAATTTAATAAATGTGTACTAAAGTTAAATGAGCTGCGTTTCAATTCTCCTCAAAATAGGCACGAACTTTCCGGACAATCTAATATTTAGGTCTATGAATTCACAAAGTTAAAACATAGTTTTCACTATATGTATTTACAGATTAAATCGCGATTGCTTTGAGATTTCGAAAATTTTACCTAGATAAACTTGATCGTCATGATAAGGTAAAGAAGAAGTTATACTAGAAAAACTTTTTTAATTATATATAGTACAGGATACAGTTGTATAGGCCGATTAAAATGTGAATACTAAGCGGAGCGGAAGTAGAAGCGAGTGTGTACTCGCGAGAAAGTAGAGTTAAAGCGACATCTGTCGACAAATGCAAGAGTTATATAATGTGCTTTGAATTAGAATTAGGATCACAATTACGAATACAGTTAGAGCTAGATTTATAGTTAGATTGAAAATTTTATTTACAGTTATAGTTACAATTATAATTAAAATTACAATTAAAATTATAGCTGGATTTACAATTAAACTTACAACTAGAATTACAGTTATAATTATATTTAACATTAAAAGCAGTAGTGAAAGCCCCTGGTATCGTTTCGGCTCAAAATATTAAAGCAATGCTCTTATTAATTTAGATCCTTCTTTTTAAATAGTTTAATGCAACCAAAGTTCTATTGCAGATGTCAAACATTACAACTACACAAATATTGAAATACAGAAAAATTGAATAGTCTTAAGCTTTCCCAGCGAGAAGTAGCGTGATTTCATCAAAAAATCTTCCTCGATCTGTCCTCGCCCGCGTTTTTCTTCGGCGTCAAGGGACCAGTCTATCGGGGTTGAATCATAAAAAATGTAAGAACCGATGTCCGGTAACGAGATTTTCGATTCTGAAAGCGAGGAAAGCGCGATCATCCCGAAGCCTGTCGCATATACATGTTCTGAAGCATGTCCGAGTGGTACCGCGACCGCCGCTTTAAGTAAAACATCAATGATTCAGTTCCGAAATGCTCCATGTCACTATAGTTCTACCGATCGAGCTTGCGATTTTTACGAACTTACCAATAACATCATCCTTTTACCATAATGTTCCTTCTTACAATCCGCGATAAGCTTTCAGATATTGATACCAGTAGAAAAATTGAATACATAATTTGTGTTAAAGAATTTAAAAAACATTATTTGAAGAGTTAAAATAGTTTTTATATAAAATTTAATTTTGTATGTATGAAATACTAATATGTACTAATAATGAATAATAAATGTTTTCTGTAATAGAGGTAATTATAAATATTAAATCATAATAGTTCATAAAAAATAGTTCTCTTTTTGCATAACCTCTTTAACCTCCCGTCAATAATTTATTTGTCAGAAGCGCCAATTAGAACTAAATATTTACAATATTAAACGAAATAAAGAAAGTTAAAATATTGTGCCTATTTTACATTCAGTGATTCAAACTATGCGAATTATAATTGGATTCAAACTTCAAATTGAAGCATAAATTACGAAAGTTCAAACTGAATATTGAAAATTCGAGCAAGATATCACGTTTGAACTGTGAGTGCGTCACGAGCCAGATTAGTTAAAGTAACAGTTAACCCCTTGCACTATGATGTTTTTATCAAGTGCGTCAGTCGGAACTGACTAATTTCAGTCATAACATGAAAACAGACACAGAAACTCGAAATGTTATGTGAATTTGGTATCATGCCGTCGTTGACCATACAAATTATAGTTGGACTTGAACTCCAAATTGATATGTATTCAAAATTCGAGTAAAATTGATCATAGCCAAAGTATATGTGCGTCACGCATCAGACTCGCCAAAATAATGTAAGGGGTTAAGTTACGTTATACGTTACAAGTAAAGTATAAGTTCAGGTGCACAGAAACAATTAAAAGGAAAGTGGATATAGCATATTTTTATGGTATTTTTCTTACTAGACCTTTATCCGGGATTTTGTTCAGTGCAGATAAGCGAACGAGTTATCCCTGTGCAGAAGGCGGGGATAATCCAAAACGCGGACGAATAAGACATTCGGTATCAGGACGGGACCAGAGGCGTAGAGGGAGAGAATAACAATTCGACGATACAGAGCATGCATTTCGGATCGTAGGAAGGGGGTGAACCAGAGGAAGAACACAAACACGTAGCCACGATACAGAGGGTGAACGCCGGCGAGAGCGTAACCGGCCTGATAACATCTCTAATCACGACGAGGCCGGCCCAATCAGCTCTAATCCTGGCCTCTGTATCCATCCAGGAAGGCTGTATAGTCGACGGGTTCCGGGAAACCGTCGCTCACCCTCCACCCCCTCTCAGGGAAACTTGTGAGCCGTATAGAACATCGCGTACAATTCGTGGCTATAGAGGATGCAGGCATCGGGGATGCAGCTGCACCGACGGCATCATACACTGCCACCGGTGGTGCTGATACCGTCGCTCGAAATTACACGTATTGATGTATACAGATTGCGAACGGTTACACGGCCGACGGGGTTTCTGTTCCGTTTATGTTTCGGGCGTGTTGGACCGATCGAAACCGGTTATCTGGCTCCTCTGTAGCCCCACGTGTTGTTTCGCCCAGCTGAATCCGAGCCCGTGTTGCTTTTCTTTCCTCTCGGCCAACCAAATCTGCGACATTTGCCCGTTGTGGCGTAAGAGTTATCCGCTTGTCGTGATTCGTTGGGTCCTTTAATGGTTGATGTTCGGAATAATTAACCCACGAATACAGGTATCCACGGACTACATTTTAAATTTAACTTCAAACCTTCTTTCATTTTCTAATGAAATTTTAGTAGACCCGGAGAATGATTCACCCTACCAGGGATAGTAAGGTGATTGCGAAGGAACTTATCTTTTACATCCTACGTAGTTTAACATTTTTTCTGTTTTAATCCTAGATGATAGTTACGTAATCGTGTGCCTGGTTCTCGGATTTGAGGTATAATAGAATGAACACAAATTAGTTTAATATTTTAAGTAGGTCTGTAACTTTTTCTATTTTGATCCCGCTTACAGCACTGTTACATACTTAATTTTTGTACGTATGGATCACAATCGACCAGGAATAAAATAGGAGGAGTGTAAACTTCATTTAATGTTTCAAGTGCTAAGTTTGTAAGTTTCTAATTTTTTATTTTTTTTATTTTAATCCCAATTGTAGAACTGTGATGGACTTACCTTAGACCTGAGTCACAATCGATCTCGAAATATGGGGAGTAGTGGGATTATTGTACACCAACGTAATCTCACTTTCTAGATTCTATGTTCACAATTCTTTTTTTTACTTTAATCCCACTGTCAGGTAGATTTGGACCATGATTGACCGTAATTACAAAGGATTAATGGCTTGACATGTCCTAATCTAACCTGTTAAATCCAACGTCCACTGTGTAACTATAATCTCTTTCGCTTTAATCTTGTTGTTAGTTGAAACAACGTTATACATATATTCTTTAGTTTGAATTAGACGTAACCCTTACATTGATATATTTTGAGATACGCAATATTTTTCAAATTTTAAATATATTTTCTTTATAATTAGTTGTCTACTTAAAGCTAAAACTGCACATACACCTATTTTACCTGCAAGGCTTGTCACAATAAATATCATTAAAAATAAGAATCAGATGAGCAACTATACTCATTGTAAACAAATCTAAACTATTAATACTAACACTATATTTATTTATCAGTCTCAACATTTTTTCTTTCCAATTTCAGTTGCGTAAATATACGTTCAATATACGTACCGGTACATCTTCCTAACTGCAAACACCCTTGAACAGGGTCCTTATCTTGTCGGACACGATTTTTCACGGGTCCGAGTGTTAGCACTTGAAGAGTTTCATCGGCGAGCAAACCGTGTTTACAGCCTTATGTGCGAATTGATTCGTCAGAGTGTGCAGAGTGACACAGGGGGTCAGTCTGAAGTATTTGAAAATCGACGCCCTAACCCCCGAAGGAACGGAGGTCCACCCCCGTCCGTCGATGGTCCACCGTGTGTCCGAACATGTGGGCTAGCAATCATCATCAGCGTTCTGCGATATTCTGTGCGGCCCCTTTTTGCTCTCGTCAGCTTCTGCCACGGTAGCCAATCACCTTGTACGAGAATTGGAACGGTTGTTCTTGATGTACGATCGCTGTTGGGGTTGAAACATCTGTGAACGAAGAGGTTCACCCTTTCTGAGTAATTGGGAAGAACACATTTATGGGCTCCTCTTTTGTAAGAAACATATAATTCTGTTATTAAATATGGCTCGTTTTAAAATTTCATAATTTCAACCTTTCCATTAACGTGTACTAAATTGAGTATTTTAATCACTCCAGTAAGTGAAGTCTGATAAATGTCTGATAAATTAGAATTTAGAGAAAATGATGTAAGGTATTCCAGTTGAAAGAAAAAAATAGTCTCAGTATAAAGTTATGTAGAACAGGGTAAATAGTTTTTTCAAGTGCTTTTCTTTTAACTAAATTTCAAGGTCATATCTTTTTAAATGAACAATATAATTTAATATGTATTGTTGCAAGGAAGAAAGCATTTTAACAATTATGTTTTGTAGAATATATTTATAATGATTCTACTTTAAACCTTATCTGAATATCTGACACTGTATATGTATTTCTATAACATGTATTTTAAGATTATTGTATTGTGTTATCGTTTACATATCGATAATTACGAGATTTCATGAGTTTTGTTAAGATCAAACACTATACCAACTATACCATGTGTACCCATACACAAGTTTCACTTCCACCAAATGTACTTCTAACTATTTACAATTTTTAAAAAATGAAGTTGGTAAATTATTAGAAAATTAACTAAAAAGAAAAATTTGAAAGTAAGAGAATTAAAGTTATATGAATGAGAAAAGGTGCCTTTAAATAAATAAGAAGAGGTATCACCATCAGTCTTAAGATGGAAGCATCTCAGTTAACCAACATCCAGCGAATTTCCCCAGTGAGGCACTTCATTTACCAAACGTATCATTGCTGTTTACCGGAAAAGACCATCTGGTGATTCCCTGACACCCACGAGCGCTTCATGAAAACCACCCAGTCCGAGTCTAATGATGTATAACGCGTCCTACGTCCACTGACCACGCTTATGTCCTTTCTCCGCTTGGTCAGTGGGGTCAAACTGTACCCAGAGCTCGTCAGCACCCTAAGAACCATTCACCCCCGGCCTTAATAACACAATTACCGTTATTGCTGAAATTTAGAGAAGCACATATGTCGTACCATCGATTGCAATAACTTTCAGGAACCATTGAATGGGAACCGTGAGATAATTCGCAAAATTTTGTCCATAAATTACAGTCCTTAATGTTCATTGTGTGCAGTTAAATTTGAAGGAGAGGTTCTTAACACGTAAACTGCCACGTTGAAACAGTTGAAAACATTATTAGGAAATATTTTATTAGGAATATTCTAAATAATAAATTTAAAAAAAATTTAAACATTGAAGATAGGTTAGATTAATTTCTTCAAAATATAAAAGTAACATAACATTTTATATTCTACATAAAAATAGCTATAAATATGTACAATTCAATATCATAACAATTTAAATAAATTTCAGAAAATATTGAAAATTAAGATTATGTTAAATGAGGTTACTCCCAAGATATGAAAATAAACATATCACTATGTCCTAGTTTCCTAATATTCTAAATAAATGTGATCAAAGGTAGACAGTTGAAGTCACTACAAGATTCATTCTCAAAACATCACTGATTTCAAAACAAACAAAATGGACGTTTGTCTAAAAAAAGAGTCAGTTTTGAGACAAAAGAGAACGAGAAGAGAGATCAAGGATGAGAAGAATCAAGGTTGTCTATTTTGCACAATATCACACGTGCAAGATGCAGTTAACCGTTACTCGATCAGCATGTTGTTCACGTGGCCATAAGAGTTTCAAGATTTTGCGATAGTTCTCGTGGTCGTGCATCGAATAACATGGCCACCGTTTTATGCAGAATTATCGGCATATTACGAGGCGCATGATCGTAATTTCAATGAAAAAGGGGGAAAAAAAAGGTTTCCTCAATTTCCGACCGGCCGATTCTCATTCAACGGAGGCCGAAACATGTTCCACGAAATGAATCATGTCGTTGCAGATGGAAAATATGATTGGACGCGCTACGAATAATTAAACGAGTGCATCGTTTCCAAAGACTTTCTACGGTTGCTTTCGAAAATCTTTCTTCTGATGCAATTTCTGTGATGCAAATCTACTGTATATGGAGCACTGACATATTATGGCGAATCGTTCTCAAGTTGGACAAAATTTACATTTCAGTTTGCTGTGCACAACGCCACTGCAGAATAAAGAAGATGGATATGGAGATTTTTGATATTATGGCGATATATCTGAAGGAAAAGTTTTTATATGGCATGGTATATCAGAATATACAGATTTAACAGATTTGACGTGATGTATGAAGATTCAGCATTTGACATGATCCATATAAAGATTCGACTCCTAGCGTGATTTATATAGAGATACCTGACATAAATATGGCGATATATCGAAAGGCAAAGTTATTATTTGATAGGATTGATATAAAAATTCAGCATTTAGCATATCGATGTATGAACGTATTCATCATTTGACATGATGAATGTAGAGATTCTTAATATAAAGGGTATTTACTCACAGTTTTTGTTAAATTATGAATATTGATGAAGTGGGATAAGTTCGTAAACGGGGCAAGTGCATATACAGGCTATTTTTATTACAATATGAGCGAAATTTCTCCATTTAGTATGTTTGTTTCCTTGTTTTGTTTCACTGATATCCCCTTTTATCTTTCAGCTAAGAGTACTTGTTTGCAGTATAGAGTACTTGCATAATGCAGTAAAAAGCATTTTATAGCAGATTTGCGTAAACTGGGCAAGTGCGTATACAGGCTATTTTTATTACAATATGAGCGAAATTTCTCCATTTAGTATGTTTGTTTCCTTGTTTTGTTTCACTGATATCCCCTTTTATCTTTCAGCTAAGAGTACTTGTTTGCAGTATAGAGTACTTGCATAATGCAGTAAAAAGCATTTTATAGCAGATTTGTTAATAATTCTGCTCTTGCCCCATTGCACATGAAATAAAGTTTCAAAGTATTTAACTTCAAGTTACGCTCTTACTCCGTTTTCGGAGAAAGTGCAGAGTAGTTGACATTTTAAACAATTTTCTATCAAAATCAAAATGTACAAGGAAAATTAAGGTCCTAATTAATATTAATTAAATAGTAGTAATTGTGCAAAGTATTCGATATCGACAGCGCTAAGTATTTACATAGCAGACTGAAAATACTTACGTTTAAATAAGAACTTTATAAAAACCAGTCTGCAATTATCCCACTTCACCTTAACTACGATTTGTGTTTGCGACGAATAAAATTACCTAGATTTATTAATAATTTCAACGTTACATATTGGATATGATGAAGTGATTTTAAGAAATTTGATAATATGGAAATTTCAGCATTGGACATTTTATGATTTGCGGAATTTGAATTTTGGAGAGGGAACTTGGAAATTCGGGAAGGTTAGAAGTTGGGGACATTCACTGTAAATTTCGAAATTTAAGAATTTGGAAATATGGAAACATAGAAATTTGAATAGTCGGGAATTTGGGACTTCCATAATTTGCTTATTTGAGGATTAGTAATTTGGAAATTTGAAAGCTGTGGAATTTGAGAAAATATGCTTTTAGAAATTTGTAAATTTGGTAAGGTATATGACTTAGAAGTTTCGAAATTTAGTGATTGAGAAATTTAAGAATTTAACTTTGAGAAATAGTAAATTTAAAAATTGAGGTACAAGTTTGGGAGTTTGAAATCTTTAGAATTTGTACACATGATAATTTGTAAATTCCAGAACTAGAGAATTTAAAAATTTGAGACTGAGAATTTGAGAACTTAAAAATGTTGAAATTTGAGAATATCAGAAGTTGGAAATTCGATAATTTAAACACTTGAAAACTTATAAATTCGAAAATTTGGAAGTTTCAAAGTCCCAGAATTTGAAAGTTTAAAATTTGAAAATTGACAAACTTAAGAATTTCGAAATTTATAGTTACGTATAACATACATACGAGATACCCTCTCACATGTAATTCCGTAGTGGAGGGGAGTAGACCCACCCCTGATCTACCTAATTATACTAATGATGACTAGGCAACTCGTATTGCTCAATGATTCCAGGTTAACATTGAAATAAATTATATTAACGTTTCAGTAAATTGAGTGGAAAGTCACGTGTTCTGTCCGTACGCCTCTGATATATTCTCGTTTCGATAAACAGATGTCGAATGAGAAAAGAACAGCACGTTTATGCAACAGTTCCAAGAGCCTCGGTTTCTCACAAACCTCTGTGAAGATTATCAATTATTAAAGACACGTGGCCGTACCAGCCTCTCTGCTCTCATCTTGCCGTTCCACGAAAACTCCGTCGCGTATTGCTAACTCCCACGAATTCAATCTAACGATACTATCGTTCATTTTAATTGCATTATATTTGCATGATTTAGACTTACTCGGGAATGTGATCATTAAAACGGTTTCTTGTAAATCAAATGGAATATTGACACACCTACTTGAGTTTTAGAATTCGGATTTATTGTAAAGTGAATCCTGTAATGCTTTGGTTCTTTCACACCAGATGGTGCAATAATCGTATTCGTGATGGATTCTGGGTCGAATATGGTAGAATACTATTTATTTTGTGCGTGTTTACTGAAGAAATTTTTATGCTTTACATTTCGTTGAATGTTTAATTAGTTTAATTATATCGGTATAGATGAATATTATGAATTAATATGTATTACTTGAATATTAGTTAAGTGTTAGTGTTATTTGATTGTTGCAGTGTAAACTTGATATTGGATTGATTTCAAAGTTTTTTATAAACTAATATTCGTCGTTCAGAGATTAACA